ACGCCAAAAATTGAAAAATTGAAGAACCAAAAAACCGAAAAATCCCAAAATATTGAAAAATTTGAAAATTGAAAAACTGAAAAATAGAGAAATCGCAAACTTAGGAACGCCAAAAATTGGAAATATGAAAAATCGCAAAACAGAATTATCGGAAAATCGCAAAGTCGAAAAACCAAAAATTTAAAAAATTGAAAAATAGGGATATCGAGAAGAAGAGAGATGGGAAAATAACAAATCGAAAAATCTAAGCGTCGAAAAACAGAGGAATTGAAAAACTGAAAATTAGAAATATCATAAAATTGAAATATCGGAAAATTGAGCAATCGCGAATTTGAGCAATTGAAAAATCGAGAAATTGAAAAATGAAAAAATCGAAAAATCCCAAAACTGAAGTATTGAAAAATTGAGAAAACGAAAATTAAAAAATCCGGAAATCGAAACATCAAAAAATCGAACAAATGAAAAATTTAATAACGAAAAATCTAAAATTTAGAATTTCGAAAAATCGCAAAATCAAAAAATTGAAAAATCGAGAAATTGAATATAGAAGAAAAGTCTAGAAATAGAGAAATGGAAAAATCCAAAAATAGATGAATCGAAAAGTGGAAAAATCGAGAAATCGAAAAATTAAGAACGCCAAAAATTGAACAAATGAAAAATCGAAAAATTGCAAAATTAAAAAACTGAAAAATCGCATAACTGGAAAATCGGGAAATCGATAAATTAAAAAATTAAATATCGAAAAATTGCAGAATCAAAAGATTGAAAAATCAAAAAATCGAAACATTAAGCAATCGAAAAACTTTATAAATCGAAATATAAACTCCCAAACTGAAATATCGAAAATATGATAAACCGAAGAATCGTAAAATCAAAAAATTGGAAAACTGAAAAATCGAGAAATTGAACATGGAAATAGAAAAGGCGAAAATCGGAAAATCGATGAGTCAAAAAGTGAAAAAATCAAGAAATCGAAAAATCAGTTCATCGAGATCGAAAATTTAGAAAGGCCAAAAATGTTCTATTTTCAAATTTGAGAATCGAAAAATTAAAAAATTGAAGAACCGGAGAATCGAAAAACTGAAAAATCAAAAAACTGAAAAATCGCAAAACTGAAACATTGGAGAATTGATAAATCGAAAAATTGAAGAACTAAAAAAATTAAAAATCCCAAAACTGAAATTAAAAAAAAATTAGAGAATCGCAAAATTAAAGAATAAAAAAAAAATGAAAAATATCGATAACTTAGGAACGGAACGCCAAAAATTGGAAAAAATGGAATATCAAAAAATTGAAAAACTGAAAAATCGAGAAATCGATGAACCGAAAAGTGGAAAAAACGACAAATCCAATCAGTTAATCGAGACATCGAAAATTTAGAAACGCCAAAAACTGAAAAATCGAAAAATTGAAAAACCGAAAAATAGAAAAATCCCGCAATGAAATATTGAAAAATTTGAAAATCCAAACATTATTAAAGAATTGGAAAACTGATAAATAGAGAAATCGAAAACTTAGGATAGCCAAAAAGTGAAAATTCGAAAAAGCAAAAAATTGAAAAATCCCAAAACAGAATAAAAATCAAAAACTAGAAAAATCATAAAACCAAAAATTTTAATAATTGAAAAATAGAGAAATCAAGAAGTCGAGAGATGGGAAAATAAATAAATTGAAAAATCTAAACGCCAAAAAACAAAGAAAACGAAAAATTGAAAATTACAAACACCAAAATGAAAAAATTGAGGAATCGACAATTTAAACAATTGAAAAATCGAGAAACTGAAAAATCAAAAAACTGAAAAATCCCAAAACCGAAATATTGAAAAACTGGGAAAACAAAAATTGAAAATTCGAGCAATCGAAACATCAAAAAATCCTCAAACTGAAATATCCAAAAACTGATAAATCGAAAAATCGTAAAATCAAAAAATTGAAAAATTAAGAAATTGAACACAGAAGAAAAGTCTAGAACTAGAGAAATGGGAAAATCGAAAAATTCAGAAATTGAAAAATCGAGCATTTGAAATTTCGAAAAATTGCAGAATCAAAAAAACGAAAATTCGAAAATTTGAGAGTTCAACAGTCGAAAAATGGAGAAATAAAAAAATCGAAAACTTAGGAATTCCGAAAATTATAAAATAAAAAATCTGAAAAACCGCACAACTGAAAAATCGGGAAATCGAAAAACCTAAAAATTAAATAATCGAAAAATTAAGAAATCAAAATATCAGAAAATTGAGGTATGAAAATTTAAGAAGGCCAAAAATGTTCGATTTGAAAATCGAAAACTGAAGAATCAAAAATTTGAAAAATCGCAAAACTGAAACATTGGAAAATTGATAAGTCGAAAAATTGAAGAACCAAAAACCTAAAAAATCCCATAACTGAAATACCAAAAAATTTGAGAATCGAAAAATTAAAGAATAGAGAACCTGAAAAATCGAGAAATCGAAAACTTAGGAACGCCAAAAACTGAAAAAAATGGAATATCATAAAAATTGAAAAACTGAAAAATCGAGAAATTGAACAAGGAAGAAAAGTGCAGAAATAGAGAAATGGGAAAATCCATGAATCGAAAAGTGGAAAAAACGAGAAATCAAAAAATTGAAAATTAGAAACGCCAAAATTGATAAAATAAGGAATCCAAAATTTGAACAATTGAAAAATCGGAAAACTGAGAAATCAAAAAACTGAAAAATCCTAAAGCTGAAATATTGAAAGATTGAGAAAACGAAAATTGAAAAATCGAGAAATCGAAGAAATGAAAAATTTAAGAAAGAAAAATCTAAAATTTAAAAAATCAAAATATCGAAACATCCTCAAACTGAAATATCCAAAAACCGATAAATCGAAAAATCTGAAAAAATGAGAAATTGAATATATAAGAAAAAATTCTAGAAATATAGAAATGTACAAATCGAAAAATCGATGAATCGAAAAGTGGAAAAATCGAGAAACGGAAAAATTAGAAGCGCCAAAAATTGAACAAATGAAAAAGCGAAAAATTCAGAAATTGAAAAATCGAGCATTTGAAATATCGAAAAATTGCAGAATCAAAAAACTGAAATTTCGAAAATCTAAGAGTTCAACAGTCGAAAAATCGAGAAAACGAAAAATGAAATCATCAAAAAATTTCAGAATCGAAAGATTGAAAAATCAAGAAATCGAAACATCAAAAAATCGAAAAATTTTAAAAATAGAAATATTAATGAACCCCCAAATTGAAATATCGAGAAATTGAACATCGGAGAAAAGTCCAGAAACAGAGAAGGGGAAAACCGAAAGATCGATGAATTGAAAAAAAAATCGAAAAACTGGAGAATCGAAAACTAAAAAAATCAAAAAATTGAAACATCGTAAAACTGAAAGATTGGAAAATCGAAAAACTAAAAATTTGAAATATCGCAAAACTGAAATATCGGAAAATTGAGAAATTGGAAAATTGAAGAAACAAAAAACTGAAAAATCCCAAACTGAAATTTCGAAAATCTCGCAGTCCAAAAGTGGAAAAACCGAAAAATCGAGAAACCGAAAATTTTTAAAATGGAAAACTTAAAAAACTGAAAAACTGAGCACAGAGAAGAAAAGTCGAGAAATCGAGAAATTGGAAATTTGAAGAATCGAAAAACTGAAAAATCAAAAAATTCAAAAAACGAAAAATTAAAAAGCTGAAAAATCGGGAAATAGGTAAGTCGAACAATTGAGAAATCGTACAACTGAAATATCGGAAAATTGAGAAATGGAAAAATTGAAAATCGAAAAATTGAGAAGACGAAAACTGAAAACTCGAAAAACGAAAATTTTGAAAATCCGAAAATTAAAGAATTGGAAAACTGAAAAATCGAAAAAGCGATGAATCGAAAAGTGGAAAAATCGAAAAATTAGGAACACCAAAAATTACACAAATGAAAAATCGAAAAATTGAGAAATTGAAAAATCGAGCATTTGAAATATCGAACGATTCCAAAATCAAAAAACTGAAAAATCCCAAAACTGAAATTTCGAAAATATGAGAGTTCAACAGTCGAAAAATCGAGAAATTGAAAAAAATTTAAAAATGAAATGATCAAAAAATTGCAGAATCGAGAAATTTTAAAAATAGAAATATTAATAAATCCCCAAATTAAAAAATCGAGAAATTGAACGTCGGAGAAAAGTCCAGAAACAGATAAGGGGAAAATCGAAAAATCGATGACTCGAAGTGGGAAAATTAAGAAATCGAAATATCAGTTAATCGAGACATCGAAAAATGTTAAATTTTCAAATTTGATAATCGAAAAACACAAAAAAAATCAAAAAATTTAAACATCGTAAAACTGAAACATTGGAAAATTGATAAATCGAAAAATTGACAAAAACGGAACATCGAAAAATTGCAAAACCAAAAATTTGAAATATCGCAAAACTGAAATTTCGAAAATCTGAGAGTCCAAAAGTCGAAAAAGCGAAAACTGAAAACTCGAAAATCCAAAAATACTGATAACGTGAAACCATTCGCAAGATTTTAAAGCATTCGATTTTGCAATTTCAAAGTTAAATTTTAAAATGCTGTTATACATTTTTGATTTTTTGCAAACATCTGAATGCCTAGGGTAAAAACTCAACACGGACTCATAAACCACAAGTAGAAAAGCACGTCATTTTATAAAATTAAAATACCATTTCACTACTACAAATTTTGGAGATGACGTCATTCCATTGTTGGTGGGGACCAGACAAATTTCGGACTCGATTACAACACTTCCTCAGTGTACCCTCAGTAAACAAAAAAGAGATCTCCGGTAGCTACGCACGCAACAGAAAAAACCGGATCTTCCTTTCAGCCTTGATGCAACAAACCAACCTTCGCACCGCTCTTACGATTGTGTTACTAACGAAATAAAACGCTCGGTAATTTTTCGACACCGTTTCACTTAAACAAATTGCCTTCCGCCTGAACCGAAACTAGTAAAACGAGTAACTTTTTCTTGCCGTTTTTGGTGTTTTTTTTGCCGAAAGCAGTATGTTAATTTTGCCCTTTTGTTCTGTCTTGGGAAGTATATAAAAGCAACAACGCAAGCTCAGTCTTGTTTTGGTTGCTAGAGGCCCGATAATGAAGTCGAATTTGGTAAGCAAATCTGCTTTTTCTCGTAATTGTGTTATTAACAAGTGAACTTTCCAGGTTATCTTCTTCTTAGTAAGTGTGGGAATTATGCTGGCGGTGGCTGCGGAAGCGTCCGCCGAAGGTTACTATTATTACTATTATTATTATTTGACAACATATGGTGACCGCAATTTGTTTTAGACACTTCTTCGGCTCCGGCGGCGGCTCCGGGCAGCGTCAACAACAACGGGAACGCCGGAGTTAAAAACCACGACGGTTCCAGTGGTCAAGGTAGTGATCGATACGCAGGCGACCACAACCACGGAAAGACCAATTAACGACATGATTCCCCACTTTATTAATGGCTGTTTTCCTTCGACCTGTATCGCTTTGTAACCGTTTTTTTACAAATAAACTCTGTATTTTCGCATTTTCGCTTTGGACTTACATGCCAATTTGACGTCGCCTTCGGCGTAGGCCGACGCCGCCCGCGGCCTGTGCGTGACCAGCGCCAGCTCCCCGAAGTATCCTCCTTTGCCCAGGCGGTTGATCTCCACCTCCTTGCCGCTGTCGTCCAGCACGCTGATGATGACCGTCCCGTCCTCGACGAAGTACATGCCGTCGGCGGCGTCGCCCTGCTTGATTATCCTGTCGCCCGTCGTGTACGTCTTGGGGACGAGCGCGTCGGCGAGGTTCATCCGCTCGTACGGCTGGAGCGTCTTCAGCATGGGCACGCTCTCGATGAGCGATTCGTACATCTTTCGTTTCTTGAACGCCGACTTGAGGAGGATGCGTCGGAAGGTCTGTCGGTCCATCGCCCAGAGGGAGCCGTCCGTGTGGGCCTTGATCGTCGCCGCCCGCGGCATGTTGTAGAGGAGGGCCAGCTCGCCGAAGCTGCCGCTGTTCTCGTACGTGTGGATGTGCTTCGGCTCCTGGCCGGGCTCGCCGACGAGGGCGTGGAATATGCCGCTGGAAGAGAAAAAGGGGGTTAGTGAAATGGTACTCTGAGTAAATAAGTGTGGCGTCGGAGATAAAAGTGTTTGTCTAAAGGGGGCACGTATTTGCGAACAGATGGAGATTGTCCTGATGAAGTAGGGTTGCTATTTAAAAAAATTGGTCGAAAGTTATCTCGAAAGAACTTCCCTCGCTCCTGAAGTACAATAAAACAAATAATAAAGCATGTTTCAAATAGGATTTAGTTTGCAAAATTTTGAGATGACGTCATCTACTTTTTGTGGGATGAGATAAACGAATTAATTTTGATTAATTGATTATGATAACCTTAAAACGTTCGTACGATTTTAGTGCATTGATTTTTTGTAATTTTAAAGTTTTTTTTTTTCATAAACTTGGAAGTTGAAAACTTTAACGGAATCATACACCACAAGTACAACAGCATATTATTTTTAAAAATTTGGAACAAATTTTGGGGATAATTAGCCAAATTTTGAAACTAACGACAGACAGACGGAAAGGGAAGACTACTTTTTTCTTACTCTAGGGGTCATGAAATGTCGAGAAAGTATAAAATGAGCAAGTCTCCCGATGGACTCCATTACTATACTTTGTTCGCTTACGCTCAGAAAAAAAAATATTTCGAATATGGAGAAAATATGGTTACTATTAAGAAACATATTAATAACATGTGTAACGTTAATATTGAAAAACTGAAAAATCTAGAAATTGAAACATCAAAAAATTAAAAAATTGGAAAATCGAAAGAGTAAAAAATCGAAGAACCAAAATATGTATTGAAAAAAAAAAAACCTAAAATATCGAAAAATTGAAAAATCGTGAACTGGAAGTCGAAAAATCGAAAAACCATGAATTTTAAAAGTTGAAAAATCGAAAAATTGAATAATCATGAAATTGATGAAGCGAAAAATCGAAAAATCCCAAAACATTGAAAAATTGAAAAACCGAGAAATCGAAAAGTCTAAAACCTGAAAATCGAAAAATTGAAAAACTGAAAATCGAGAAATCGAAAAATTTGAAACGTCAAAAATTGAAGAATCGAGAAATAGAAAAAATGAAAACGTCAAAATAAAAAAATTAAATCAAAAAAATGATAAATCGTAAAACTGGAAAACTGAAAACTGAAAATCGAGAAATCGAAATTTAGAAACGTCAAAAACTGAAAAATACCAAAAAAATAGAAAAATCGAAAATTTGAAAAATCGAACAATCGTCAAGCCGAAAAATCGAAAACCAAAAATAAGAAAAAATTGAAAAATAGAGAAATCGAAAAAAAACGAGAAATCGAAAATTTGAAAAATCAAGAAATTGTAGTGCAAAATTGAAAAATCCCAAAACTGCAACATCGAAAAATTGAAAAACTGAGAAATTGAAAAATCTAAAACCTGAAAAATCGAAAAATTGGAAAATTGAAAATCGGGAAATCGAAAAATTAGAAACGTCAAAAATTGAAAAATCGAAAAACTGAAATAACGGAAAAATTGATGAAGTAAAAAATAGTAAAATCCTGAAACTAAACTATCGAAAAATAGATAAATCGAAAATATGAAAAAAAAATTGAGAAATGAAAAAGTCCAAAAATCGAAAAACCAAAAATTAATAAAATTGAAAAATCGAAAAATAGAGAAATCGAGAAGGCGACAGATGGGAAAATGAACAAATCGAAAAACTGATTAGTCGAGAAGTCGAAAAATTCAAAATTAGAATCGCCAAAATTGAGTAATCGAAAAATAAGAAAATCGAGAAATGGAAAATAAAAAAAATCCAAAATTGAAACATCAAAAAAATGATAAATCGAAAAATTAAAAAACTGAGAAATCGAAAAGTCTAAAACCTGAACAATCGTAAAATTGGAAAACTGAAAAACGAGAAATCGAAAATTTGAAAAATCAAACAATCGTCAAGCCGAAAAATCGAAAACCAAAAATGGGAAAAAATAGAAAAATCTAGAAGTCGAAAACTCGAGACTTGGGAAAACAAACAAATCGAAAAATCTAAAAGTCGAAAAATTGATGAATAAAAACGCCAAAATTGAAAAATAAAATGATAAATCGAAAAATTAAAAACTGAGAAATCGAATAGTCTAAAACCTGCAAAAACGAAAAATTGGAAAACTGAACATCGAGAAATCGAAAAATTAGAAACGTTAAAAATTCAAAAATCGAAAAACTGAAAAAACGGAAAATTGAGAAATGGAAAAATAAAAAACAGATTTGGAAAATTTGAAAAATCGAAAAATTGATGAAGCAAAAAATTGAAAAATCCCAAAACAGAAACATCAAAAACTAAAACATTGAGAAATTGTAAAGTCGAAAAACCGAAAAACCAAAAATTAAAAAAAATGAAAAATTGATTAATCGAGAAATCGAAAAATTCATAATTAGAAACGCCAAATTGAAAACTAGAACAATTGAAAAATAGTAAAATTGAAATAAAAGAAAATTGAGTAATCGAAAAATAAAAAAATCGAGAAATCGAAAATTTAAATAACCAAAAATTAAAATATTGAAAAACTGGAAAGTAGAGAAATCGAGACATCGATAAGTTCAAAATATGAAAAATCTATTAATCGAGAAATCGAAGAATTGAAAATTAGAAACACCAAAACTAAAAAATAGAAAAATTGTAAAACTGAAATATGCGAAAACAGTGAAATCGAAGAATAAAAAAAAAATGAGAAATCAAAAATTTGGAAAATCAAGAAACTGATGAAGGGAAAAATTGAAAAATCCCAAAACTGAAAGATCGAAATATTGAGAAACTGAAAATAGAGAAATCAAAAAATTATAAACGTCAAAAATTGAAAAATCGAAAAACTGAAATATTGTAAAACTGAGAAATGGAAAAAATAAAATATTGAGAAATCGAAAATTCGAAAAATTGAAAGTAAAATTTAAAAAACCTCAAAACTGAAACATCGAAAAATTAAGAAATCGAAAAAATGAAAAATCCAAAAATTGAAAAATCGGAAACCTGAAAAATCGAAAAACTGAAATATCGAACTATTCAGAAATTGAAAAATACAAAAATCGAGTAACCGCAAATTCGAAAAATTGAGAAATTGAAAAATCCCGAAATAGAAACATCGAAATATTGAAAAATCTTAAAACCGAAACATCGAAAAACTGCAAAATAGAGAAATCGAAAATTTGAAACACCGAAAAGTGAAAAATCGATATATCGAAAAATCGTAAAACTAAAATATCGGAAAATTGAGAAATGGAAAAATAAAAAAAATCGGGAAATCGAAAATTTGAAAGATTAAGAAATTGATGAAGTGAAAAATTGAAAAATCGAAAAACAGGAAAATCGGAAACTCGAAAAATTGAACAATCGAAAATTTAAAAAATCGAAAACTCGGAAACCTCAAAAGTCGAAAAATTGAAGGATTGAAAAGTCGTCAAGTCAAAAAATCAAAAAACCGAAAATTTAAAAAAATTAAAAGAATCGAAAACTTGAAAAATCGAAAAATTGAAAAGCTACAAAATAGAGAAATCGAAAATTTGAAACACCGAAAAGTGAAAAATCGATGTATCGAAAAATCGCAAAACTTAAATATCGGAAAATTGATGAAGTGAAACATTGAAAAATCGAAAAACTTGAAAATCGGAAACTCGAAAAATTGAACAATCGAAAATTTAAAAAATCGAAAAATCGGAAACCTCAAAAGTCGAAAAATTGAAGGATTGAAGTCGTCAAGTCAAAAAATCAAAAAACCGAAAATTTAAAAAATTCAAAATAATCGAAAACTTGAATAATCGAAAAATTGAAAAACTGCAAAATAGAGAAATCGAAAATTTGAAACATCGAAAAGTGAAAAATCGATCCATTGAAAAATCGCAAAACTGAAATATTGGAAAATTGAGAAATGGAAAAATAAAAAAAATCGGGAAATTGAAAATTTGAAAAATTAAGAAATTGATGAAGTGAAACATTGAAAAATCGAAAAACTTGAAAATCGGAAATTCGAAAAATTGAACAACCGAAAATTTAAAAAATTGGTCTAAAGAGTTTAGACAGTACTTCCCTCGCTGTCGGAAACGTGACGACTGCATGCCTATTATGTTTTTTTTTTCGCAGTAGATTTCAAAGCATTCGATTTTGTAGTTCCTGAGTAAACCAGTAAAATAAATTTACGCATTCATTATTTTTTTGAGTCACCCAGTATATGCAAATTCAAAAAATATGACTGGAATGATAAATTACAAGAAGAGACTCATCGCATTTTGTATATTCTAGATAGGATTTATTCGGCAAACTTTTGAGCCGACGTCATCAGTTTTTTGGAGAAGATAACCAAATATATTTTGACTAAAAATTTATTATGCTCTTTATAACCTTAAAACATCTGCAACATTTCAAAACATTCGGTTCTGTAGTTCCTGATTAAATTAATAAAATACATTTACGCATTCATTAATTTTTTTGGGTCACCCTGTATATGCAAATCCAAAAAATATGAATGGAATGATAAATCACAAGAAGAGATTCATCATATTTTGTACATTTTAGATAGGATTTATTCAGCAAAATTTTGTGGTGACGTCATAAATTTTTTAGGAAGGATGAGTAAATACATTTTGATCAAAAACTTACCATGCTTATGATAACTTTAAAACATCTTCAAGATTTCAAAGCATTCGGTTTTGTAGTTCCTGAGTAAATCAATAAAATAAATTTACGCATTCATTAATTTTTTTGAGTCGCCCTGTATATGCAAATCGAAAAAATTTGAATGGAATGATAAATCACAAGAAGAGACTGACCATATTTTGTACATTTTAGATATGATTTATTCGGCAAACTTTGGAGCTGACGTCATCAAGTTTTTGGAGGGGATAAGCAAATATATTTTGACTAAACATTTATTATGCTCTTTATGACCTTAAAACATCTGCAAGATTTCAGAGCATTCGGTTTTGTAGTTCCTGATTAAATCAATAAAATATATTTACGCATTCATTAATTTTTTTGAGTCACCCTGTATATGCAAATCCAAAAAATATGAATGGAGTGATAGATCACAAGTACAGACTCATCATATTTTGTACATTTTAGATATGATTTATTCCACAAACTTTTGAGCTGACGTCATCAAGTTTTTGGAGGGGATAAGCAAATATTTTTTGACTAAAGATTTATGATGCTCTTTATAGCCTTAAAACATCTGCAACATTTCAAAGCATTCTGGTTAGCAGATTAAAAATTAAATTTCAAAATGTTGTTTTATAATTTTGATTTTTTTTCCAAAAATCTGGACGTTTCGGGTGAAAAGTCGATTCAGAGTTGTAAACTACATGTGTAGGACTATGTTATTTTATACAATTGAAAACCCATTTACTATGTACAATTTTGAAGTGACGTCATCGCATTAGTGGTGGGGATGATTAGACAAATTTTGGTTAGCGTTTTACCATCTACATGATATTCTTAATATAAGTACAAAATTTCACAACAATCGGTCGAGTACTTTCGGAGATTATCTGTCTAATAAAAATCCGGGACAACAGACGGACAGACGGACGGACAGACGGACGGACAGACGGACGGACAGACGGACGGACAGACAGACGGAAATGGGAGACCTATTTCTTCGTCTTCTAGGGGTCATGAAAGATCGAGAAAACGTAAAAGTAGAGAGTCGGCCGACGGACTCGATTACAATACTTCCTTTGCTTACGCTCGGGAAGTAAAAATCGAAAAATCGGAAACCTCAAAAGTCGAAAAATTGAAGGATTGAAAAGTCGTCAAGCCAAAAAATCAAAAAACCGAAAATTTAAAAAATTCAAAATAATCGAAAACTTGAATAATCGAAAAATTGAAAAACTGCAAAATAGAGAAATCGAAAATTTGAAACATCGAAAAGTGAAAAATCGATACATTGAAAAATCGCAAAACTGAAATATTGGAAAATTGAGAAATGGAAAAATAAAAAAAAAATCGGGAAATCGAAAATTTGAAAAATTAAGAAATTGATGAAGTGAAAAATTGAAAAGTCGAAAAACTGGAAAATCAGAATATCGAAAAATTGAAGAATCGAAAAGTCGTCAAATCAAAAAATCAAAAAACCGAAAATTTAAAAAATTTTAAATAATCGAAAACTTGAAAAATCGAAAAATTGAAAAACTGCAAAGTAGAGAAATCGAACATTAGAAACGCCAAAAGGTGAAAAATAGATAAATTGAAAAATCGCAAAGCTGAAATAGCGAAAAATTAGATAAATTCAAAAATTGAAAAATCCCAAAACTGAAACATCGAAAAATTGAAAAATCGAAAAATGGAAGAAACGCAAATGTGAAAAACCGTAAAAACTGAAATATCGAATTGAACAATTGTAAATCGTTAAAAAGTTCAAAAATCGAAAAATCGGGAAATCGAAAATTCGAAAAACCGTGAAATTGAAAAATCCAAAAACTGAAATATCGAAAAATAAAAACATCGAGATCTCGAAAATTCGAAAAATCGAGAAATTGAAGGGAAAAACTGAAAAATCCCAACACTGAAACCTTGGGAAATTGAGAAATCCAAAATGTAAAAATCGAGAAATTAATGAAGCGAAAAATTGAAAAACCCCAAAAGTAAAATATCGAAAAATTGAAAAATCCCAAAACTGAAACATCGAAAAACTGAAAATTTAAAAAATGAAAAATCAAAAATTGCAAGGGAAAAATTGAAAAATTTCAAAACTGAAACATCGAAAAACTGATTAAAACTGAAATATCGAATAATTCAGAAATTGACAACCAAAGAATTCGGAAATCGAAAAATCGAAAAATTTAGAAATCGAAAACTAAAAAAATTCAGAAAACAAATTAATAAAGTCGAGAAATTGAAGGAAAAAATTGAAAAATCCCAAAACCTTGAAAATCGAAAAATTGAAAAATCGCATAAACAGAGAAATTTTAATTAACGATTTACCAATAACCTTAAAACTTTTGCAAGACTTCATAGCATTCGATTTTGCAATCTCAAAGTTAAACTGCAAAATTTTGCTGTCCAATTTAGAATTTTTCAAAAATCTGGATGTCTAGGGTAAAAATTCAGAACGGATTCATAAACCACAAGTACAGGAGCATTTCATTTTATAGAATTTAAAGAATATATTTTATTATTGCACATTTTGAGGAAGACATTCTGTTGTTGGTTAGCGTTTTACCATCTGCACGATATTCCTAACACAAATATAAAATTTGACAACTATCAGTCCAGTAGTTTCGGAGTTTTGGATTCATGAAACGTCGAGAAAACAAGAAAACAGCCAGTCATCCGAGTACAATACTTCCTTAACTTACGCTCAGGAAGTAAAAATCTACAAGTTCCTTTTGTTCTTACGACCGAGCAGAGAACAGCAGACGCGTAAACCTCGTCTATCACAGGCAATAACGATAATAATAGTAATACATTACGATATTTATAACCCCGAAAATGTCCCTATTATCTCGTGAACTCCAATCTAAACGCCGTCGTCGTAATAATATTAATGTTCCTTTCATTTCGTTCGAGTTTCTGGTGACGTTGGGGTCTTTTATGCCCTGAAACACGGTCTGGGTGGTGTCATTGTCGCTACCCACTATCGTGCACACACATACACATCTAGAGTAACATGTAATTATGTCACACCACGTGTCGCCTTGCTAAGTAAATTCTCATGAAACAAATGTTATGTCACAACTAAAACACGACTTTTCGAAAAACAACTTGCGTTAAATTCGATACGGAGCGATAAGATCGACCCTCGAATTTATTAACGCTCGCTCACGAGTTGATAAAATATCCGGATGTCTTATATTTCAATTAACGGGCAATATCTCGCTTATTAGTGCAGATGTCGATATCGACCATTTACAGGTTAATGTTAAATTTTTACGACGATAGAACTGCACAAATGCGTAAAACGTTAGTTACATGGAAAAAGTGAAAATGGTCGTACCGATAAAAACCAGAAGCTTTATTTTCCACTAATTAAACCGGCGGAATGCGTTGCTGGGCGACGCTGTAACGTCATCACTTTTTCCCCCCGTTTTTTAATTGTCGTTATACCGGGAAAATCCACAATGAATTGTAAATTTTAAACCGTACCTTCAGCGAAACCACTTTTAAAAATTGCCGCACGTGGACATTTTAGCCTCCCATAAACTAAAAAAAAACCCTAGAGTAAAAAAGACTAGAAATCTACGCCCACACAAAGCGCCATCATGCCAAACAACAACCTTAATCACCATCCTCCACTCTAATAAGATAATGTAACTTCCGACAAAAAATAACAAACACCAATCATTACTCGTGATTGTCCCATTATCCACTCAACTACACGCGTCTCCCTGCCCCGATAACCACACCTACAAACCCTTCCTGTACAATAAGCCGACTTTCAATCCAGGTGCGTCAATATTTTCACTTCGACCGTCATTAAACATCGATCCCTTACTTTTGTATAACGTAGAAGTTGTCCCCGTCGTCGCCTTGCTTGATCACCAGCTCGCCGGCCTGGACGATCCTCTCGAACATGGCGTCCAGCACCTCCTGCATTTGCTCCTTGTCGAGGGCGCGGAACAGAAGGATGTTGCGGACGGCCTCGGCCAGTCTCTGGCGCTGCTCGTCCGACTTCGGGAAGACCACCTTGCCGCCGTCGTCCTCGTCCTCCTCGGGGTCGTAAGCCTCGGCGAAGACGGACTTGCGACGTCCCGAAAATCGACTAACAGGTGGTTCTGGAACAATTAAAACAATTAGCGTCAAAGGACGAATTCATTGCGAGCGCGCCACTAATTTAATAACAATTTGGCAAACGCAAAAAGCGGTCGGCTCGGCGGCCTCATTTCGACAAATTGGGGAATAATGGGCGGCGCGGACGTCATCGCGGACGCGGTATTTTAAAATTCGGGAAGCGAGAAGAGGTTGATAGGAAATACGAGCGCGGCGAGCTGAATGGCAAATATTCCTCTGATATACTACGTTTACCGAACCGATGGACCTTCACGTCATTTTAAAACCTCGTTATTATTGGTCGTTCTCACAGTGCTATTTTATATTTCTTACATATGTAGCTAAATTAAAAAAAAAAAAAAATGGAATAAAAACCACGGTTGTCGTTAAAAGTAAATGTTAATGACATCATTAAAAAACCAAATTCGTAAAGTTACCAACACAGAACTTGCCCCCATTGTGAAACACCAAAAATACAATATATTGATTTTTGACCAATTTTAAAGAAGCACCTGATGTTTTGTATTTGAAGTAGATAGTTCTAAAAAACTTCAGTGGGGTCGGGTGTTTTTTCTTGTAGTTTTTTAAAGAATCTCAGAGGCACTTTGTGTTTTGGTTTGGAAAAACTTGAAAGGATCTCTAGTGTTTTATTTTTCAGGTATTTTAAAGAATCTCAGGGACACCTGGTGTTTTATTTTTGAAGTAAATATTGTATAGAATCTCAGACATACCCGACGTTTCAATTTTGGACTAATTTCAAAGAATTGGTGTTTTATTTTTGTGTGTTTTTATTGTTGAGGCATTTTAAAGTATCTCAGGGGCACCTAATGTTTTGATTTTGAGCCCATTTTAAAGAGTCCCAGAGTCCCGACTTTTTACTTTCAGATCAATTTTAAGGAATCTCTGGGGTTTATTTTTGCAGTAGTTTTAAATACATATTCTCGTTTTGTTTTTGAAGTAGCTTTAAAAATCTCAGGGGCTCCAGACGTTTGATTTTTGAAGTAGTTTTAAGAATGTCGGGAGCACCTGGTGTCCTCATTTTTGAGGTACATATTTGAAAAAATCTCAAGGGCATCCGACATTTTGATTTTGGAGCAATTCCAAAGAATCTCCGCGAAACCCGATGTTTTGTATTTGAAGAAGTTTTAAAGAATCTCAGGGGCACCTGGTGTTTACATTTTTGAAGTACATATCTGAAAGAATCGCAGGGGCAGCCAAAATTTTAATTTTGGTGCAATATGAAAGAATCTCCGGAGAATCCGAAGTTTTGTAAGTAGTTTTTAAAAACCTCAGGGCAACTGTTGTTTTGTGAATTTGAAAGAATCTCAGTGAGCTTGGTGTTTTATTTTTGAAGTATTTTAAGGAACCTCAGGGGCACTCGACGTTTTAATTTTAGACCAAAGTTAAATAATGTTTTATTTAAAGAAGTAGTTTTAAAGAATCTCGGAGTAACCTGGTATTTGAAAGAATCTTAGGGGAACCTGGTGTTTTATATTAGACGTATTTTAAGAGTCTCAGGGGCTCTTTGTGCCTCGTGATGTTTTGTATTTGAAGTAGTTTTAAAAAATTTTAGGGGCACTTGGTATTTCATTTTTGAAATTTTTTAAAGAATCTGAGAGGCACCCGACATTTATTTGAAGTAGATTCAATGAATGTCTGGGGCGACTGGTGTTTTATTTTTGAGGTATTTTAAAGTATCTCAGGGGCACCCGATGTTTTATTTGGAGAGGCAGTTTTAAAGAATCTCGGGAGCACCTGGTGTTTTGTTTTTGAAGTAGATATATAGTTTTAAAAAATTTCAAGGCGGTCTGGTGTTTTCTTTTTGAAGTAGTTTTAAAGTATCTTCGGGGCACTTTCTGTTTTGCTTTAGAAAAAATTTGAAAAGATCTCAGGGGCACCTGGTGTTTTAATTTTCAGGTGTTTTAACGTCCCGTCTGGTGTTTTATTTTTGAGGTATTTTAAAGTATCTCAGAGGCACCCCACGTTTTATTTGAAAAAGTAGTTTTAAAGAATCTCGGGGGCACTTGGTGTTTTGTTTTTGAAGTAGTTTTAAAGAATCTCTGGGGCACTCGACGTTTTGATTTTGAATCAATGTTAAAGAATCTGAGGGGCACCTGATGTTTTGTATTTCAAGTAGATAGTTTTACAAAATTTCAGGAAGGTCTGGTGTTTTGAATTTTTTTAAATAATCTCAGACCGATCCGACGTTTTGTATTTGAAGTAGTTTTAAAAAATCTTAGGGGCACTTTGTGTTTTGGTTTAGAAAATATTTGAAAGAATCTCAGGGGCATCTGGTGTTTAATTTTTCAGGTATTTTAAAGTATCTCAAGGGCACCCGACGTTTTCATTTTGGACCAATTTTAAAGAATCTAAGGAGTACTTGATATTTTTTATTTCAAGTAGTTTTAAAAAGTTTCAAGGGCACTTTATGTTTTGTTGTTAAAAGAATTTAAAATAATCCCAGGGACACTTGGTGTTTTATTTTTGAAATACATATTTTACAGAATCTCCGAGATACCCAACGCAACGTTTTAATTTTGAAGCAATTTTAAAGAATCTCAGAGAAACCCGACGTTTTGTACTTAAAGAATCTCAGGGGCACCTAGTGTTTTGTTTTTGAGATATTTTAAAGAGTCTCAAAGGCACCCGACCTTTTAGTTTTAGACTAATTTTAAAGAATTGCGACGGTATTCGAAGTTTTGTTTTTGCAGTAGTCTTAAAGAATCTCAGGAGGACCTGATATTTTGTTTTTGAAGTACATAGTTTTAAAGAAACTCAGGGGCATCTGATGTTGTGTTGTTGAAGTAGCCTTAAAAAATTTCAGGGCCCCAGACGTTCCCTTTTTGAAGTAGTTTTAAAGAATCTCAGGGGCATCTGATGTATTTTTCAAGTAGCTTTAAAGAATTTCAGGGACTTCGACGTTTGATTTTTGAAGTTGTTTTAAGAATGTCAGGGGCGCCCAGTGTTTTATTTGTTACAGATTTTAAAGAATCTCAGGGCTCCAGACGTTTTCTTTTTGAATTAGTTTTAAAGAATCTCATTGGCAGCTGATGTTGTGTTTTTGAAGTAGCTTTAAAGAATCTCAGGGGACCCAGACGTTTGATTTTGAAGTAGTTTTAAAGAATCTAAGAGGACCCAGACGTTTTGTGTTTGAAGTCATTTTAAGAATCTCAGGGGCACCTGGTGTTTTATTTGTTACATATTTTAAAGAATCTCAGGGGCTTCAGACGTTTTCTTTTTGAAGTAGTTTTAAAGAATCTCAGGGGCACCTGATGTTGTGTTTTTGAAGTAGCTTTAAAGAATCTCAAGGGACCCAGACGTTTGATTTTGAACTAGTTTTACAGAATCTCAGGAGACCCAGACGTTTTGATTTGAACTAGTTTTAAAGAATCTCAGGGGACCTAGACGTTTTGTGTTTGAAGTCATTTTAAGAATCCAGCGGCACCTGGTGTTTTATTTGTTACCGATTTTAAAGAATCTCAGAGGCCCTAGACGTTTTCTTTTTGAAGTAGTTTTAAAGAATCTCGGGGGCACCTGACGTTGTGTTTTTGAAGAAGCTTTAAAGAATCTCAGGGGAACCAGACGTTTTGTGTTTGAAGTCATTTTAAGAATCTCAGCGGCACCTGGTGTTTTATTTGTTACCGATTTTAAAGAATCTCAGAGGCCCCAGACGTTTTCTTTTTGAAGTAGTTTTAAAGAATCTCAGGGGCACCTGACGTTGTGTTTTTGAAGAAGCTTTAAAGAATCTCAGGGAAACCAGACTTTTGAATTTTGAGAAGTTGTTTTAAGAATGTCAGGGGTACCTAGTGTTTTATTTATTAATGAATTTCAAGAATCTCAGGGGCCCCAGACGTTTTCTTTTTGAAGTAGTTTTAAAGAATCTCAGGGGCACCTGACGTTGTGTTTTTGAAGAAGCTTTAAAGAATCTCAGGGGACCCAGACGTTTGATTTTTGAAGTTGTTTTAAGAATGTCAGGGGTACCCAGTGTTTTATTTATTAAATAATTTAAAGAATTTCAGGAGTCCCAGACGTTTTCTTTTTGAAGTAGTTTTAAAGAATCTCAGGGGCACCTGACGTTGTGTTTTTGAAGAAGCTTTAAAGAATCTCAGGGGACCCAGACGTTTGATTTTTGAAGTTGCTTTAAGAATGTCCGGCGTACCCAGTGTTTTATTTATTAAAGAATTTAAAGAATCTCAGGAGCCCCAGACGTTTTCTTTTTGAAGTAGTTTTAAAGAATCTCAGCGGCACCTGACGTTGTGTTTTTCAAGTAGCTTTAAAGAATCTCAGGGGACCCAGACGTTTGATTTTTGAAGTTGTTTTAAGAATGTCAGGGGCCCCAGACGTTTTCTTTTTGAAGTAGTTTTAAAGAATCTCAGGGGCACCTGACGTTGTGTTTTTGAAGAAGCTTTAAAGAATCTCAGGGGACCCAGACGTTTGATATTTGAAGTTGTTTTAAGAATGTCAGGGGTACCCAGTGTTTTATTTATTAAATAATTTAAAGAATTTCAGGAGCCCCAGACGTTTTCTTTTTGAAGTAGTTTTAAAGAATCTCAGGGGCTTCAGACGTTTTCTTTTTGAAGTAGTTTTAAAGAATCTCAGGGGCACCTGACGTTGTGTTTTTGAAGAAGCTTTAAAGAATCTCAGGGAACCCAGACGTTTGATTTTTGAAGTTGTTTTAAGAATGTCAGGGGTACCCAGTGTTTTATTTATTAAATAATTTAAAGAATTTCAGGAGCCCCAGACGTTTTCTTTTTGAAGTAGTTTTAAAGAATCTCAGGGGCTCCAGACGTTTTCTTTTTGAAGTAGTTTTAAAGAATCTCAGGGGCACCTGACGTTGTGTTTTTGAAGAAGCTTTAAAGAATCTCAGGGGACACAGACGTTTGATTTTTGAAGTTGTTTTAAGAATGTCAGGGGTACCCAGTGTTTTATTTATTAAAGAATTTAAAGAATCTCAGGAGCCCCAGACGTTTTCTTTTTGAAGTAGTTTTAAAGAATCTCAGGGGCC